TTTTATTATTTTCCTTTAGTAAACATTCTTAATTATTTACACACTGGTTTTCTTGTTAGTAACTAAGAGTGTGATAAAATCTCTGTTTATTTTCTTTGTTCTGTAAACTTTGCTTTATTCATTTTGAATTAATATTATTGAGTTTATTCAAGTTTAGAATCTGTTGGCCTGGTAACTGAATTTTTTAAATCACGAGATGATTATCTGTAATTTTTGACTCAAATTTTATTTTATCTGGTATTAAAATAGCCACACCAGCATTGTTTTGGTGAATATTTTCTGGATTTTTTTTTTTTTTTTTTTACTCTTTTACTGTTTTTTGGTACTGGGGATTGAACTCAGGTCCTTGTGCTTGTGAGGAAGTCTGCGGAAACACTGAGCTAAATCCTCAGCCCTACCCTTTTACTTCTAATCATCTTACTTTTTCCATCTTATTTATGCGATCTCAATTTATCATCCTTTTTTTTTTTGCTCCCTCTGTCTTCTTTTGGGTTAAAGGTTGATTATTTTCCCGTTTATTCTTTTTTGGTTTAAATACTGTTTCTATTCTTTTGGTACCTAACCTTGAAATTTTAACTGTGTATTGACTTAACAAGGTCTGACGTTATTAAATATCTTCATTACCTCTTCAGACAGTATGTCGAAAGCCCTTGGAATTCAATACTCCTCAACCTGACTTACCATGGTACTATGGCTTGGATAGCGTATGTCTTCCAGGGTCATGTGTTAGAAGTTTAGCCCTCAGGTTGGCACTGTTGGGAGGTGGTGATACTTTTAAGAGGCAGAAGCAAGTGGGAGATGGCAAGACTGACCCCTGCCCACACTGTGGCTCCCTGTCTTACCGTGTTATCTCCATCTTGCACTCGTTCCTGCCATGTTGTGCCCCCACCATAAGTTGAAACAGCTAAGGGAGCTCTGATGAGAGCTGTGCTACCTTGTTTGGGTTTTTCACTCTCCAAAATGGTAAGCTTCCAGTGTTGTTGGAAAATGGACTAATGTATATGATGACATTCTTATTAAGGATTTTTTTAATGTAGTCATTTTAACACACAAATCAGAAATTGCTTATAAACGTTATACAGTTAATATTAATATAGATTTATCTACATTTATAGTCTTTTTGTTTGATATCCCTTCTATTTTCTCAGTTTGCCCTTTTAAACTTCCTTTAGTGAGGGTCTGTTATTAGTGATATGTATCCATTTTTATTTGACTGAAAATGTGTTTGTCTCTCTCTTGTCCTGTTGGATAGTTTTTCTGGGTATATTGGTCTAGGTTGACTCTTTGAGGACATATTTTTGCTTCCATTTATGATGTTAATTCAGCCCTTGTCAGTGATCTGTCTTTTCTGTCTGAATGCATTTATGCTCTTTTATTTTGATCACTAAATGTTGAAATTTTCAATGTCTAGACATTTTTTGTATTATGATTGGGATTTACTGTGTTTCTTTAATCTGAAAATTCATATCTTTAATTTTTGAAAGTTCTTAGCCCTTATTTCTTTGAATGTTGCCTCTACGCAGTCTCTTTATTTTTTCCCTTTCTGGAAATCTGACAGACATATGTTAAACTTCACCTTGTCTTTCATATCACCTAACTTCTGGTTATTTCTGTAATGTTTTCTTTTATTCCTGTGCTGCGTTTTGGGTAATTTCTGCAGGTCTATCGTCTATCTTTCTTTTCATAAATTCTGTTTTAGGCTCTGTTTAATATGCTGCCTATTTGGATTTATTTTTCATGTTATTTTGTATATCAGAAATTCTGTTAGTCATTTAAAAATTGTTTATTTGTGTTTTCCATCATATCTTTAATCCTGTCTATTACTTCTTTACACACTTTAAACTTGCTTTATATTCTGTATCAATTATAAAATTATTTTTCTTTTCCAACATATCTTCAATTCTATTATTTCTCTGCATTTATTAAACTTATATTTTAATCATTGAGAAATCTCCAGTTTCCTGACAATTTTAACTTGCAGTGGTAATTCTTTTACTCTTATTTTTAGAGATTTTTTTATTGCAAGCTCACATTCCTTGAAACTTTATATGTGGAGATTGTTAGACCCCGGTGATTAAAGTGACTTTCTCCATAGAGAATGGATTTGTGCTCATTCCAGCCACAAGAGCCAACCTAAAGCTCCTTTATCACATTTTCAACTTAGGTTGTCATTATTATTCCAACTCATATTGGTAGTGTGAATTCTGGTCTTAACCCTATACAAATGGAGCTTTGGCTTAGCGATTTTCAGGAAGACTTTTTCAAAGAATGATGCAAATAGACTTTAACTTATTAGTAGTCAGGGAGTTTTACTTTCAGTGCCATGGGCCACGAGGTGTTTGGCAAAGCTTTTTGACTCTTCTCAGAATTTTAGTTTAATAAAAAATCTTTAGACTTGAAAAGGAAATCAAGTATATTGAAATATAGCCTTTTTCACAAGCCCCAAAGAGATACCTGAATTATTAATTCGTATGATACATTTGAATTCTATCTCTGTTCTTGATGGGGAAAAGTAGCTTATAATATGACTGATTTCCTTAGTTTCTTAAAATAGTAAATGGAGCTGGCAGCACCTAACTCAGAGGCACTGTAAACCTGTAGTCTTTTCACATGTATTTGATTAGAGTGTTTCTACTGTCATAACAGCATGGTACCCCAAAGTTCTTAGTTTTGTACTCAAAAGATTTCTAGTAAAATCTAAAATTACACAAAATCAGTTTTACCTTACCATTTATATTAAAGATGATCTAAGAAAGCAAACAAAAAGAAGGAAAAATAAAATCAGTTTCTCTTAGGAAGCTATGATTTATTAATATCCAGAGTAGAATGAAATATTGTTTATTCATTATTCTTTTTAGTAGCTAAGAAAATATTGAACTACCTCAAATCATTGGAATTAATCTGATTGAACATTCTTGGAAGATTGGTTCATTATGTTGTATTCATATAATGAAATTCTCTCTAGCTATTAAAGTGAATAGAGAGAGATATAGTCTCATAGAATGAACTCTAAGTCATGTCATTCAGTGTGCAATGAAAGGTGTAGCTCAGTACATACTGTGTTCTCATTTGTACAAATCGCTTCATTCATAAAACGTGATATTTCTGGAAAGAGGTACTGGTAATTGATAGCAGTGATTATTTCTGGAAAGACAACTTGAGGTCTGGGAAGGAAATGGGAGAGACTCAATTTTTATTGTATATCTATTAGTATTGGTTGAATGTTTTGCTGTGTGCATGTGTTAGTGTTCTAATTAATTCATTAGAAATGAACTGTCCTTGTTTTTAGCAACTATTGATATTGAAATGAAATGAAAGCATATAATGAACACACACTAATTAAGCCCGTCAAATAATATGTTTCACTAATATACTTTGTAACATGAAGAAATTCTCAACGACTAGGCCTGCCTCAAATAAGACAACTGGTACTTGATTGGGATGCCGATGGAGAGACCCATGGTTCTGGGTACTCTAGGTGCCCTTTGAGCGTCCTTCAGGATCTGCTTTCTTGCTTAGGCCACATGTGCATGGCTTTATGGCTATCTGCACTCTGTTCTGCCTCTTTCCTTGGCCTTGACTCCTAAAACTATGTGTCTCACGTGGTGCCTGGCCCAGAGCAGGCCTATAATCAGTGGTGAAAAGAATGAGTCACTTTGATCCTTTCAGGCATGAAGTCTAGAGTTGCAGAAATAAATAACAGGTCTTGCATTCACCTATAGTAGAGCAGACTGAACAGCCAGTTGCCATGTACCGGAAGTTCTCAGTTAAATGAGAACTTAAATGAGAGCAGAGAGCAGGGTCATGGTGATAAAACAAAACCAAGAAGGAAAGAGTCTGATGAAGGCATCATTTTTCGACATTCCGATTTTATCCCTAAAACTCTGTTGTGGAAGTTCTGTCGGTGGAGGAGATAAAGTCAGCAGAACAGTAGAAGCAATAAGTGGAAGAGAGTCAGAGAAGAGTTGGATAACAGCAGTTGTTCAGTGAAATCTCACAGTGCCTTTCAAGAATGAAATCCAATTTATATTTAGAATTTGATTTCCATCCAGAAGAAACAGACAAGCTGGTTAATCTCAAGACTGTGAGAAATAATTTGTGTCAGTTATTGAGAGAATTTGTAATTAGGTGTAAAAGGGTGTCTGGTCAATCTCATTCATTTGTTCACTCATTCACTTACCCCACATTTATTGTTGGCATGTGGTGTCCCATGAGAGAAGCAGAAAAGAAGTAGAAAGGTCTTCTGTCCCAAGTAGCTTGTCACCAGAAAATAATTTTGCATAATGGTTCAAAATGATATATTGGGTTTAGATTCCTGAGTTCAAAGCCTGGATCCCTTACTTGCTACTCATACGATTTTGAGCAAGTTACTTAATCTATTTGTGCTTATGTTAATAATAGTAGTTCCTATCTCATAGGATTAATTAGGATAGCCAGTTTGAAGTGCTTAGGACAATGATTGGCATAATCAGAACTCAGTAAGTGTTAGTTTAAAAAAAAATTCATTGATTTGTTGGATATTTTTGGAGTTCCTGCTCTGTGCCAGAAAAGATGGGGGACATAATTCCTACCTTCAAAGAAATCAGCTGTTGATTGATGTATTGGTTATCTCTAACTTTATCACAAATTATTCAACAATTTATGGATTGAAACCATGGTAGTGATTAATTATATATAGCTCACATAAGTAGGTCAGGGGTTAGGGATTTCCGTGAGTCAGAGATTCAGGGCTCACTTGGCCAGGCAGTTCTGGTCAGGGTCTGTCACTTTAGCCAGAAGTACAGACGTGAAGATCAGGTCGGGTCTGGAGAATGCATTTCCAATACACATTTTCTAGTAGAAAGTTTCTTCCCCATACGGGCATCTCCATGGTACCACTTGGGTGTCCTCAGAGTACAGTGGTTGATTTTCTTCAGAGTGAGTGATCCAAGAGACCAGGCCAGAAACTAAAATAATTCCTTTTATGATCTAGCCTCAGAAACCAAACACCTTCACTTCTGCTTTATTTTATTGACCTCACAGCTGAGCCCTGGCTCAACATGGAAGGGAACTGTACGAGGGAGGGCATGGGTACCAGGAGGCGAGGTTCCTTGTGGACTCTCTGGCAGGTTGACTACAGGGCAAGGGAGGAAGACGTGTGAAGAGTACTGTGAGAAACCTTCCACAACAAGCTTCTGTGGCAGCATAGTCTTGTCAGGGAAGAAGGAGGTGAAACCTGAGCTCAGTCATAAAGCGGAAGATGTTTGGCCTGGTGTGTGGAGAGGAGCGTCCAGGGCAGGAGGAAGCTTGGCGTGCCTCTGTTGTCTGGGAGCAAAGGGCCTGGTGGGGCCAGGGCAAGAAGTTAAATACAGCACTGATGTCGGTACCGACCTGGCGATCTGAGAATGATGTGGTGATGGTTAAGTCACATCAGGACAGCTGCACCTATAAAAGATTTCACATTTTTTGAGACCGTGAAACATATCCTCTAGAATACCTTTGTGGCATTTAGGGTGATTTTTATGGGTTGGACCTTAAATATCCTTCAAAGACCGAATGTTAAGGACTTGGTCACCAGCCTGTGATGCTGTTGGGAGATGGTGGAATCTTAGGAGGTGAGGCCTACTAAAGAGGAAGGCAGGTCATTGCGGGAGTGCCCATTGAAGGGGATATTAGTAGCTTAGTCGCTTCATCTATCTTTCTTTTCTTCATGGCTACAATGAGGTAAATAGCCCTTTTTCACCATGTACTCTGCCATGACATTCCATGCCACTGCAGGCCCGAAGTGATAGGTCCAAGAAAGCATGGACTGAAATCTCCAAAATCATGAGGCAAAATAAACATTTCTTCCTTTTTAAGTTGATTATCGCAGGTGTTTTGTCAGTGATGGAAAGCTGACTAACACAGATCCCCATGCCTCCATCCATCCCACCCGTCCATCCGTCTATCCATCTGTCCTCTGTCCATCTGTCTGTCCATCCATTCATACATATTTATCTATTGTATGCATGAGTGCATGCGCATACAGTAATTTAGCAGCCTCTACATTACTTTTACTTAATAGCACTAATCGTCACTTATATCGTATTACATTTAATGTTTATGGCTTGTGTCTTTCTCTGTATATAAACTGCAGGATGTCAGGGATTTTGTGTTTATACCATGATACGACCTGAACCTAGAATAATTCTCAGCAAATATTAGAGAGTCAATACAATGTGGTTGAATAAATGAGAGAGTGAAATGAGGTCATAGAAATGTGTAGAAGATGCTGCAGGAAGTTGAAGGCAAGAAATATCCAGATCTTCCTGGAGTGAAGGAGGCGGTAATTAAAACAGGCTTTACAGAGTATTTGCTGTATGAATCAAGTTTACTATGTGGATAGACTGAGAATGGGCTTTCAAGACAGAGATCTGTGAGCAATGGCTATAGACAGGGAGGAACATGTCTGCAGTCCTAGATGATGCTCTTTTCTGTCTCTGTCTGTATGAAACCATATACAATCACAGGACAGAAAGATCACCTAGCAGCTGCTTTTATTTAATAATGTATGCTAAAAAAACTACGTCTGAGAAAGCCTTCTTTGGAGATATTTCTGAAGCAGCCACTGGCTGATAGATGTTCTCCGTGCTGCAGTTCTCATAGCACCCTCAGAAACACAAGGACCAGAATCACATCCCCTTCCCATTAGCAAGCCTCACCTCAGTGCTGCATGTGTTTATATTTTACAACATGTTCTCATGCTGTGGTGGCCAGACATTCAGTCTTCTCTGCAGAGTTGACATGAGATGTGGTTTTTGGCATCTCTGTTGACTCGAAGATATTTTTATGTCAGATTGTTACCAGATAGCACCACAGTGTGAGTTATTTTGCAATAAAGGAGGTTGCAGGTCAATAATGAGGATAGTTTGAATCAGATGTTGCTCACACTGCTGTACTCTGAGCCCAGCTTGACATCTTTTCAGGCTATTATATTTCCAGTGTTCTTCCTTAGCACTGGAATGTTGGAATGCATGAAAGTGCTTTCTTATGGTTCCTTATTTGTCCCTTTTGTATGAACTTCAGGAAACGGCTGCTCAGAGGAAAGATAAAACCTTTATACATTCTCAAGTTCTGCATTTATGAAATTCCTCCTCCATAGCAGCCACATTCAAGTAATATGAACATATTAACACAACCTTTGAAAACCATCTTCAAAGGAAGCAACTTGGCCCCAAGAATCTTCATGGGCCTCATTGTTTTCCACTTAAGTAACTCCAGTTTTTTCCTTGTTACCCACCTCTGCTTACATTTAACAATAAATGTTCAGAAACAAAGAATGAGCATTCATGTTTTACAGATGCAATTAATTTTCGGTTTTGTTGAAAACAAAACGGGACTCAACTTGATTTTAAATTGGAATAAAAAATTAAGGGTTTTTGCGTTTAGATGGTGGGACTATGAGTATTTTTGCTTCCTTCTGCTTTTCATTTTTCCCCTAAGATGGCAATAATGAATACATATTGCTATTTTATAATGGAAAGTTTAAACCTAGAAACTTCTGGGAAAATTTGCTTTTCCACATTGGGGCTATGCATAATCTTTAGAGACTATTTTGGCAAAATGGATCCCGATTCTTCTCTCCTCTCTGGAACTCACTTTTTAATGTCAGTAATGGTGAATTGAATAACAGCTTCAAACAGCGGAGGAGGATTCTATACGTGTATGTGTGCATGTGCTGGGTGTGTGGTGCTGGGATCTAACCCAGGGCCTTGCACATGCCAGGCAAGTGTTCTGCCCCTGAGCTACATCCCCAGCCTGTCACCTTCTAACTAAAGCTAGCCTTGAGACAGTTAGCTGGGAAAAGTCAGAGCTAAGTAAATGAGGTTGCTTCCATCCCAGGAAGCGCCAAAGAGGAGATATTTATTCCCTACCCTATACTGCTAAATTCCTATCAACAAAATCTAGAAATGACTATTTTTCCTGAGTCTGTTGTTGGCTATTATGAGGCTACCAAGCTCTGTTTTTTCCTGGCACATGTCTACCAGTGTACTGATGTGCCTTTGACTGGTGCTTTTGACGTATCATCTTCTGACCACCCTTTCCAACCCCATGGTCTCATACTTCTCCTTCCAAGAGCACAAACATCAGTTAGCTTGAGGATACTGTCTCTGCCTGATCCAAGGTAACCACGCAATGGGACATCTCAAATGAGATTCTGAATCTGGAAAAAAAACCCCAAAAAGATAGCAGCAACAGTGAGCAAAAATAAGACAAAATTGAAGACAAGCCCTACACATTTGAGTGATTCACCAGTTTTCAAAACTCCTAGGCTCTGATGCCTACCGAAAGCACATGTAGGTACCAATCTAGTGTTCCAGCCAGTCCACTGCCATATGTCACTGTGTGTCTTTTGCAAATAGCTATTTATAAAGCTGCTTCAGTGGCTTGATGGTTGTATGTCTCTGTGGGATGCTTGTAGTTTTTCTTTAGATGAAGATTTCAGAGATTACACGAGTCTGATAATACTCAGCCGTAACGGAAACCTTATTATATTTAACTTCAAACACTTATCTTGATAATGAAGGACAAACATAAGAAAATCACCTGATATACAATCTCTTGAAATGAAAATGGACAAGTACAGGTGTTTGTTCTAGTTGCAGTCAACAAGCTATCCTGGAAAGACTCTCAGGGGAGCCCTTTGCACTGCTCCAAAGTCACAGCAGATGGTCCTTCATCCTACTCTCATGTTGCAAAAATCACTAGCCCTAAAGACCCAGAGGTATGTCAGGTTCCTGCTTGCTGTTTTCCATAAGTGTGCTGGGCAGACCATAGTATCCATAAACTCTCCAAGAAGGAGTTCCTGAACTTCAGGAATACAGAACCAGCTGCTTTCATAAGGAACCGGAAACAACCCAGTGGCCTTGACTGTGTGACAAAGACACTGGACCTCAGCTGTGATGCACAGTGAGATTTTCAAGAATTCTTTAATCTAATTGGTGACATAGCTGTGACTTGCCGTGACCACCATGGCTGGCCACTCCTACAAACAAATCTGCAGAGTGCTTGGTACTAGACCCCAAACTCACTCCCTGTGTCCAGGCTCCAAATCTCCATTAATCTTCATAGCTTACACATACACTGTGCCCAAAGAAACCTACCACCTTATGCAGGCCAGTTCTGGTGGCAATTAAATGATATTTTAAAGCGCGCATGCACGCGCGCGCATGCACGCGCGCGCATACACACACACACATTGTTTGTAGATAACCCATTAGGTTTTCTTGACTGCATTTCTTTAGCAATTGTCTGTATAAGGACCACTTTGTACAACTACTGAGCATTCAAAAATGGAAGAAGACACACGCTCTCTCTAAAGGAGTTCATAGCCCTAGAAGGACAGATTTTACAGAGCTGAAAGTGGATATTGCATTAGGAAAGGCATAAAATATTATGGTCCTGAATCTCAGTGATTTGTAAGAGGATAACATAAACAACAAACTTGAATATATTTATAAGCAACCACACACACACAGAAGGAAACACGTTTATTTTCTGGAAATTTCTCTAACATATGGCCATTTTCTCCTTGATTATTTCTATTTATTGCACATACTGTGGCAAATTTATCATTGTGCATAAATGACATTAAATTCTGCTCACTCTCCACTTTGAGTTAATTTGTTTTCTTTGTGGCTGAAGGGCTGTTCTGATCTTATCTGGAAGACAGAAGACAGAAGTGTCTCGTTGTGACACTTCTCATCCTCCTTTCTCTATTTGTTGGGCATACTTCAGCAGAAATGGACTTAACCCCTCTCCAGAACTTGTCCTGACTTATGGAACTGAGGTAGACAATCTGATAAAAAAAACTCAAAAGCAAAGCTTTTCCGCTCCTTTGGACAAGCTCCCAAACAATCACTTCCTGCTTCCTTTTTACTCTTTTATCCCTTGCTGTAAGAGCAAGGTATTCCTCTAGAGCTCAAGAGCAATTAGCTATCATTCATTGAGTGCCAGCTATACTCTAAGTATGTTGTACTTATATACCTCAAATTCTCTTACAATCTCAGATGAAGAAACTAAGCCAAGATGTCAAGAAATCTGGCCAAAATGATGTATCTAGAATTTGGACTCCAACCTGCCTGACCAAAAACTGTTTTCCCATTGTGCCATGCTATTTCTAAACCAAAGATCACAATATCACAGAAGATGCCCTTTTATTCAAACAAAACAAAACAAAATGCCTTCAAACTCCATGGGTTTTAAAGAAGTCTTCATTCCCCCATCTCTCTTATATGGATAATCCCTGCATTCTCTTGCCCTTCTATCCACAGTGAATGGGAAAACTGAGTGAAAATAGTGGGAAATGGGAGATGTCCATCACAACAGCCCTTGCTGTGAAATGGAAAGTTGTTTTACTTTTTTCCAAGAAGCCCTGTAGTGATTGCCTTTTTGTTATGATTTGGGTCTGAAGTGTCCCTGCAAAGTCTCATGTCTTTGGAAGGTGATTATATCATTGGGGAACTATATTCAGTAGCTGAATGTGGTAGGAGGTAGGGCCTGGTTGGAGGTGGGGCACTGGGAATGTGACCTGAAAAGGTATATTCTTATCCCTGGCTCCTCCCTTTATCTCTGTTTCCAGTGCTCTGGGTTTCATAGCTGTCCTCTGACAGGGCCTTTCACCATGTCCTTTCCGCCTTAGAGCTGGCCAACCATGGACTGAAACTGTGAGCCAAAAATAAACCTCTCTTCTTTGAAATTCTGTGTGTCAGGTATTTTGACTAAGCGAGGAAGCCATTCTCCATGAGTTGGTTTTGCCTCTGTCTTAGTTACTTTTTTTCATTGCTGAGACAAAATACCTGACACCAAGCTAAAGGAGGAAAGTTCTATTTGGCTCACAGGTTTTAGAAGTTTTAGTTTGTACTTGACTGGCCACAAGGCAGGGTGGCATGGCAGAGGGGCATCACAGAGGAGTAACAGTTCATGGTAGTCAGAAGGCAGCAAGGCAGCAAGCAGTGATGGTCTTTCTGTCCCTTACATCCTATCAGGGCTACCCACCCTTAAGGCCAACAGCACTCACACCCAGGGTGGGGAAGCCTTAACCCTAGCATCACATCATGAATCAACCCCACCATCATATCCTTGATCCCGCAGCATACACTCTGGATCCAGCCACCTCCGGAAAGCCCTAATTGCATGAGGCTTTGGGGGAACATCTAGATACAAGCCATAATAGCCTTTTACCCCATAGTTCATCCCCCTAGACATTTCTTATCCCTCTCTATTTGTCCGTCCACCCCTGCTCATTGTGAATCTTTATGTTGTGCCAGGACCCGAAGGCCCAGATCAGTGATGCAGTTGGAATCAGTACCCCCAGCTAATCTCTTTATGAGGTGGGAGTTTTCCTTCATACTGATATAATTCCTGTTGCCCATTCTGGTGACTCATGCATGGCTGGAATATACCTATAAGGAAGCTTTTAAAGGAATATTTCCAGCCAGACTCTACTTGTAAGATTCCTTGGATGAATCTAATTATTTCCTGGGAAGCCACATGCATTCTCAGTGGCTCAGATAGGGTAGCACTGCTCTTTCAGGCCAAAACTGGATCCTTGCAAATGTTACAAGACAGATGATGCAAACAAGGTACCAAGAGTGCCGGTGAATTACAGAACTGGGACGAGTTGAGAGGTCACGGAATCATAATGTTTCTGGAAATTATGCTGCAAGTGTGTGGGGGGCTCTGAATTTTTTTGGAGGGTGTTTAGTTTCAGCTTTTCTCTAAATCTTACACATGACTGGCAAGTATAGATGTGAGAAGGGAACATACAACTGATTATAAGTTTAAATATCAGCTAGCAGTATGACGCTCCTGCCTTAAAAACTTGATACTCTCCTCAACTGCATTAGTTGGAACACTGCATGTTACCTTATACTTGAGGATGGTAGAAAGTGCTGCTAGAGTGTTGGGTTCAATTTCACCACTTCAGCCTTTTGTTGGGGAATTCTAGAATCATTTGGGTCACTTTTCTGGGCTCAAAAAGCAAGAACTATCAGGAGATGATAGGTATCTGATCACATTACAAATTAAATATGGCCAAAGGAATTAAATTTCATCTTGAATTCCTAACAAATTAGATAAAAATAGCTAAGAAATATCAATACTTAGTCATTGTTAAGCATCTGCAGTTTCTGCTTGGGGCAATATTTAACTTTGGAAACCACTTTTATTATGCATAAGCTATATGAAAATAAAAGCAAAATAAAAGCATTAGTAATTCATTCAACATGTAGTTGATGCTTTCTAGGTGAGTAGTGCCAGGTAAAATAAGAATAGTATATTCTTTTTTCCCTTTATTCCCCTAGATTTTTACTCATCTGTTACCATAATATTTATATTCTATTTGAGAGAACAAGGATTACTGAATAAAATGTTAAATAATAATTAAGGACAGAAATAACTCCTTTCCAGGAGAAAGCTAAGACATGATCTCCCTGTAAGCAGTCTTAATGCATATTCTCTGTCTGCAACCAAGAAGTAACCAGAGGAGCCTCAGCTGATGAAATGGTCTTATCAAGTGGTCCTTGTGTTAAAAATTAAGTTTACTGATAAATCTTCACACCCCTGTTCATACCCTAACTATACTTACTTTACAAACACTTCTGACTAACTCCACTTCTAGCGCCTCAAAGTTAGCAAATCAAAGGCAACAAATGAAAGGGGAGAGAGACGTTACCTTTGACACAAACACTCACTATTTTGAAACAATGTAGGCAGTAAATAAATATAGACAGACATCTTGACAGTAATAGAGCTTGACATTAATAGGTAGGCAACAAATATGACAGAAAGCTATAAAAATCTGTCCTGGAGTGGGCCTAAATAGTCCCACTGAGCTCCGTGACCCCAAGGGCTTCAGTGCATTAGGTGCATTATAGTAATTGATGTCTTTCTTCTGAATCTGATAGCCTGTGTTCATAACATTGACCCCAAGGCCTTCAGGAAAGATTAAATTATGCTCAGTGGATGCTGTTTAATAAGGTATGTGGGTATATTGTATCTTTTTTCTTAAACCATTTGATGAAGACATCCATCCTAATGTCTCTAGCAGTGGCATTGTCACAGAAGAGATATCTTTTGAAAAGAAAGGAAAAATAAGATGAAAAGGAGCTGCTACCTAAAAGGTTTGAAAACCATTTGACAAAATAAAGATTCAGTGACTGCTCCTTAGTTCGCCACAGAGTTTGGTTAAGCTATAGGACTCAGTCTCTAACAGGGTTATCTTGATTACTATCATTAACAAATACTGTCAAACTGTACTGTCCAAAGTGATGGCCACAGCCACCTATTATAATTGTTTAAGCTTAAATAGAATGAATTCAGTGTTTTAATTGCACGAGACATATTTCAAGTGCTCACTAGCATTTTATAGCTAATGTCGACCACATTGGACAGTGCAGATGTAAGACATTTCCATCACTGAAGAAAATTCTTTTGGATATTATTGTTTTAGAAAGTCAGGAAGGGGCAATATACCTGTCAGCTAGAGTACAGTTTCTTATTTAACCTATGGTGTTGTATTTTTCAGTGTGGTTCTTGTAGAACCATAGAAAATGCTGTATTTCCTGGGTAGAAAGTTTCTGCATAGTTTGGGAGTAGACAGAAATGTTATTTGAAATGTGGGCTTCTGAGGGCCTTTTCTTCTAAATGCGCAGAAGGTTCTAGAAGAGTCAGAGGTCATGAGTCTCTTGGTTAATTCCATGCTATATTTTCAGGGTTCATTATGCTAGATATACATTGGAAATAGATGGGAAAAATTTCAACTAGGTCTTCCAAATAAATGTGTTCATCAGAAACACTCATGTTTTATATTACCTGAGCAGGAGAGGTCCACCAGCTCACTAATGGTGCAGTCTGTGAGTGATGGTCATGATAAAGAAGTCATCTTGTAGGTAAGGTGGAAGATCTGTGAATTATGGGGGAGAAGAAGGTATTCAATTTCCAGCCAGGGAAACTCCTCTTCAGGTGACTGATAGTCCTCGTGATGTTTGCGGATTGAAGATTCAGAGAGGAGAAACTAGAGTCAGTTTAATTTAGGTGACTTGTAATTCGAGCAGGGAACAAAATGACTTTCTCAACCTTACAAAACTAAAATTGATGACCTAATTTATTTTTCCCCCAAGGGCAGCTGATGCCATGTTGGAGGTGGAGGTCATGAGAATGTCCTAATGGGCAATGTGTCTTTAGCTGCCTGGGTATTTTATACATGCGCGTTAATGAAACTATAATTGTCTTATTGAACACATTGAACTTGACAGGGCACATGTAGGAGGCCACTTTGCTCTTTCTTATGTCCTTCTTTTTTTAATCCTTTAGCTTTTCTAGCTACTCTCAGATCACAAACAAAAACTTCCCTCAATATATTGAAAACATCAGTCCAATATATTTGATATTTTGGTAATGTCAAAACCCAATTTAATTTAATGCATTCATCCAATCTGAAACTTCTCGCCATCCCCAGCTCTAATTTCTTTTGGTCTTAGCATCGGTGCTGGGGAAGACGTGTAATAGGCGTCATTTCTACTTACTGCTCCTCTCATTCTTCCCATTGCCGCTGTAGTGTGGGTGTTGTGGGGAATCAGGAGAGAAAGAAGGTCTGGGACCAAGGATAAGGAGTGATCTTCTTGGACAGTGTAGATCACTTGGTCCTTTCTATTGTGAGGGAGCCCTCGTGATGTGGGGTGGAGCTGAGAGTAACAAAAGAAGGTGGGGTCAGTGGAGGGCTAGGGTCAAGGGCCAGAGTGAGAACTGTGTGTTTGAAGCTTGACTCTCAGGTCATTATGAAGGTATCAATACCAGGTAGGCTAGAACACAGCTTTTAAATATTTACATTTATGGTACCTGGGACACCATTTGTACACTTGCCCCAGGCTCTGCATATGTTAGGAAAGGAACTGAAGGTAAACACATTAATTTTGGGTGATTGCATGGCTTTAGGTCATAGGGGATAGAAGATAGCTCGAGATGAATTAGCAAAGATTCTTTTTTTTTTTGGTTTTTTGAGACAAGGTCTCACTATGTAGTTGAGACTGACCTGGAGCTCACTATGTAGCTCAGGCTGGTCTCGAACTCACAGCAATCCTCCTGCCTCAGCCACTTGAGTGCTGGGATTACAGGTGTGTGCCGCCGTGCCTGGCTAGCAAAGATTCTTAATTAGGAAAGAATCCAAGAACTGGCTGGACCCTGGGTAAGCTCAGTTTAGTGAAGCAGGGCTGGCTGTAAGTAAGGAGAAGAGGCTATCCCAGGGGCTGTGTCAAAGCTGGCCTCTCTCAGATGGTTACAGATGGTGCTTCACATACAGTGATACTTTAGAATAACCATGTGTCGGCATCTTGATGGTTCTCTTTGGTTGTAGGACCAACAGAATTTAGACAACAAGCAACTGAACAGGAGAGACATCTCAGAAGGAAGAAAAAGTTGGTGGCTCCTACCCAGATTCCCTTTCTACCAATGACTGTGACAGGTGTTGTTGTGTTGCTGTAGTCAGGAAGAGAATTCCAGGTGATTTCTTGGCTGGTACTTTTGTCCTTACAGGAGGCTCTGTGTAGATTGAAGGAAAGCATAGAATGAACTTGAGAGCCCATATCTGAGAGTTTGGGAAACAGTGGCGTTCAAAAGTGACAGCTGGTCCTTATTTATACTTTTAGTTTCTCACACCAGAGAAACTGTTCAGTATTTACACGTGTGTGTCCTATTTATGTTACTTAAGAGTATGGCCTGAATGTGGATCCATTTGGCTATAAATGCCTCTAGTTTATCATTCATTATGGCTGAGTAGTACTCCCTTGTATATAAAAAAAAAAAATAAAAAGATCATCTTCTTTGTCCAGTCTCCAGTTGATGGGCATTTGGGCTGTTTCCAAGTTTTAGCTATCACAAGTTGTGTCACTATAAACATGAGTGCACATATATTGCTGTGGTATGATTCTTTTATTTCTTTTAGGAAGATACCCAGGAGGGGACAGCTGGGTCAAATGGGACCTCTAATCCTAGTTTTTTGAGGTATCTCCATACTGATTTTCACAGTGGTTGTACCAGTCTACGCTCCCACCAGCAGTGGAGAAGGGTTATTTTTTTCCCCACACCCCGCCAGCATTTGTTATTGGTTGATTTCTTGATGGCAGCCATTCTTTCTGGAGTGAGGTGGAATCTCAGTGTTGTTTTCATTTGCATCTTTTGAATGACCAGTGATGTTGAACATTTTTTTCATATGTTTATTTGCAGTTTCTAGTTCTTTGTTTGAGAAATGTCTGTTCATTTCAGATGCCCATTTTTGGATTGGGTCTTTAAATTTGGAAAGTCTGATTTTCTAGATAGTAGTCCTTTGTCTGAGGAACAGCTGGTAAAATTTTTTTTTCCCACATTGTGGGTTGTCTCCACTTTGTTGGTGGTTTCTCTTGCTGTGCAGAAACTTTTTAATGAGATGAGATTCCAGTTGTTGATTCTTTGTGCTAGTTCATAGGCGACTGAAGTTTTGTTCATGAAATCTTTTCCTATGCACTGTCTTCAAGAGTTCCACCTAACCTCTTTTCCAGCTGGTTTAGTGTTTCTTTTTTAATGTTTAGATCTTTGATCCATTTCAATTTTAATGGTACTGCACTTGCCTTGCAAGTGCAAGGTCCTGAGTTTGATTCCCAGTACTCAAAACAAACAAACAATTTTAGTTTAAATGTAAAATAGATAATTTGAAATAGGAAGAAAAGCTCCAAAGGGGAAGGGGAAGTGGGAGGGTAGGGGAAAGCAAAGAAAGGAAAGGAATAAATATGAGAAAAGGAAAATATAGAAACAAAGTCTTTGTAAATAGGGAGTGGTGGAGGGGTGAAAAGGAGGGCAGGGGAATGGGGAAAAAAGTAAGAACCAAGATAAGTCATGTGGTACAAATTCCCAAAGATAAATGTCATCATGTTGTATACCTAAAATGTACTGACAATGAAAAAAAAAAAGTTAAAAAAAAGTAAAAATAAAAGTGACAGCTGGGATGGTAGAAGTGTAAAGACAAGGAGTTTCAAGCTTTTAAACAACATGTTTATTACTTACACTGCTTATTATAATTCTAAAAAGTTTTTATTGCAATTGCCGGCTGCTGTGAGATGGGCTTTTATAATGGACTATATTTGTGCCAGGGATTTAGCTCACTGGTTCTGCCGCCTGCCTTGCAAGTGCAAGGACCCGAGTTTGATCCCTGGTACAAAAAAAAAAAAAGGACCGCATTTATAAATTTGGGAATTGGGATGTTAGTGTGGAGTTTATTTCAACTCCAGCAACTCTAACTGATAACAGTATAAAAGAATGCTGGGCTTCACCCAGGTCGTCCTGTCACTGTTGTTTTTGGGCTGATGGGGGTGTCAGATCTGTGTTCATCTATATGCTGAACCCAGCCCTTCTGCGTCTTCATGCGTGTGTTTTGGGAGAGGAGAGGGGCATTGCAGGTCGTCATGAAGGGTGTTTTATGTCAACTACTTGGGAAATGATGACACATTTGAAGCCATTATTTGACAGATCTGCTACCTAATGTCCCACTGCTTGTGGCTATGTGTGCATTCTCTTACGATGTTCAGCCTAGGAGCATTTGCTTGTTGCAACAATATCCTGTTAGCAACATAAAATATTCCTTTTTATTTATCACTATAAAAGGAGTACGGAGCTATGAAAACTGTCTGATTTGTGGCCTCCATCCGCACCATCCATCAGCCTTTTCCCTTGTCCGGCTTGTAGAAATGGCCTTCCTTCCATCTGCTCCTTTTATCGTTATTTCTTCTCTCTCTTTGTAACCAACAGCATATATTTTGTGCTCTTTAGCATGCTCTCTACTCCTCACAAAGAGCAGCTCCTTTCAAAGAAAGTGATTAAAATGCACTACCGCCACCTGGCCATACAGGCAGCCTTGAGCGGGTTACCTGTATCACTGAAACACAGCAAATAATGATCAGTTCCAAGTTCAGGCTGGGACCTTGGCTCCACTGGAGGGAAGGAAGAAATTGGCTTTTCGGCAGAACCTGTTGGTGGGAGGGGTGGCAGCGTGAGGTCCAAGTGAGGTGGGAGTGGGTGGGTGGGTAATCACACCTGTACCTGGTTTTGAAGGCTCCAGGACCCATCGCTACTCACAAGTTCTGTCTGAATCGGCTGTTGCCTGGTGCTATGAGGATGGGGATGTGGCTCTTGGAAACATTTCTATTTGGCAAGACGCATATGGGTGTGTGTGTGTATGAGGGGCGAGTTAATGGGTTCCTGGTGTATCAGAGCCACCTACTGGCTAAACACATGGAGTGGCCTGTGCATACTGACATGTTTGGCCGCTTCTGGAGCTTGCTTGGGTATGTGTGAGTCCACTGAGTGTGCTCTGCTTGAGCACCTATTTGTGAGTATTTGTGTATTTTGTCTTCCTGGTACCTGTTACATAATGTTGGTTAAGTGATGCATTTGGAGAGGCTGTCAGCCTTGGGATAGCATGTTTAATTACAAACAATTTCTTTACCTATGTGCTTCTGCTAAATAAATACATAAACAAAAATCCCTTTTAAGCATTTACCTTTTGCTCCTTGCAAAGATTGGTGTGGAAGAGAGAAATGGAGTCCTTGGTCTATGCTGTGTGGAATTATTTAAAGGATGCACATGGAGCTGTTTCTTTGCAGAGAAGAACATTCTGGGACGGGTCAACACCAAAATGTTGTGTGTGTTATCTTGCATGGCGGGGGTTGTGGGACAATGACTTTTCCCTCTTATTTGTCTGTATTGTCTAATGTTTCTGTAATGAAATTCTTTGGTGAGGTACTTAACAATAGGTAAAAGCATTAAAATGAAGGGGCGAGTTGATTTTTAGACATAATTCTGTATCTCTGAAGAATAGTCAGTTCTCCATGTTTTCATAAGAATTAGACATTTTTAGTGGCACAGAAAACAAACATTCTTATACATCACCTTTTCAATAGAGGAAAATAAATACCTAAATAAAACACGGTAGGCTGGCATAATACTCAAATGCACTATATAACAAGCATCTGCGGTGTGCCAAGCTCCCCACACCAGTCACTCCTGGTGATGACACTGCTCATGGCAGATGGGAGTATCTTTGTTTTATAAACAGTAACCAGCTTCTCAAAGCTGCAGAGCAGGTGAGTGTTGGGCTAGGATTTGAGCAAATGCCTGACTTGAAGGTTTGATTCTTCCCAACAGCACGCTGTCTTTCTCAGCAGGCATCCAGGATCACTGAACCGGGATCTCCTAAGTGTTTGCTGTCCCTCACGATTCCTTTTTGTCCCCAGGCATTTTCTCTACCTCAAGGCTGAATAGCAGAATGGCTCACACCTGTGCTACATTTTCTCCCCAAGGGCCTGAGTGCTACTATTGCTAAATTAATTATCTGGTTAAAAAAAATCTATCCAAATAATAAAGTCAGCCAACATTTATAGAGTGCTCACCATGTGCCAGAAGTATTAAGTCCTTTATGTGAATTGTCTCATTATGTTTTCACAGCAGCCCTGGAAGTAGATATCATTAGGCTCCTTATGTTTCAGACATAGAAAGTGAGGCATCAAGAGATTCCAACTTGTCTAGGTTGTCCCAGCTGGTGTATTCGGCTGGCTTTGGGACCTAGGCAGTGAATTCCAGAGCACTATGCTCTCTTTCCA